CACAGCCTCGCCGAATCCCCGCCCAACCTTATCCGACTCCGCTCAACCCCACCCAATCCGAACCAACCTCACCCGACCCCTCCCAGCCCTGTTCAACCCTGTGCAACCCCGTCCAATCCCGTCCATCCCCGTCCAGCCTCGTCCAGCCTCGTCCAGCCTCGTCCGGCCCCTTCCGGCTATGCCCAGTTCGCCCAGTTACGTCCATATCTACCTAAACTCGCCAAAATCCACGAGGCAGACTAGGAGGTGACTGAAACTAGCTTTACCCGTTCGTCATTATTACAATCTCCACCTGCATGCCCATCCGACACCATGACCAAGTTGTTAATTTCAGCCATATGGTGAGTGACCCGTGATAAACGAATTCATTCACCCTTCAAACAATCCCAGCTGTCTATCAGCAATAAATTATCGAATATTCCGCCCGGCCTGCCTGCTTTGTCTTGCCCGGCATGTTTGGTGAGATTATCTTTGCTTCCGCCCTCTTTGGTATTGACAAACGTCCACTAACAATTTTGACCTGCAATTACTCAAAGCTTAATGGTGCAATTGTAAAGCATCAAAATTCATTTAGTAGGAACTTTTATTGTCAGAAGTGTTAATAAGCGTACGTCATTTACCTAATTCTCGTGATTGAGTGAAAGGAGGACGTGTAGGTATTGCCTACGGTGGTTCAGGACATCAACTGATGGCACTGCAGTGTATCTGACCAGGAGTCTTTAAGGTTCGAGTCCCGTGGCAGTATTTTCGATACTTCTCAGTCAACTAGGTCGAATTCAGCTGCTGTCTGGAGGAGAATTCTGGCGGCCTGCTTCTCTGAAAACTGCTTTTACCGTGGTTTGTCTGATCAACACCAGGCTAATGCTGGAGCAGTACCACAAACAAACGGGCCACGGATCGCGCCCAATCTTCCCTCCTTCCTTCATATGTCCTCACCCCTTACTTCCACACATTTACATTCGCATGCCCTACACTAGCACACGTGTTAGGAGATGCGCTGGTGGGATATATCTGGGAAAACCTCGCTTGCTGAAGTGTAGGTCAACACCTGAACTCCTCATCCAGCTGCGGGAAGATCACCGCCACCTCCTGAGTAGAAATCTCATACCCTACGGATACAGGGGTAACGACCTGAGCAGTTGACGCACCCACCAACCAATCAGTGAATTAAACCGACCGTGTGGGTCGTCACCGGGTCCGTGGGAGGAAGATCATTGGCACCTTCCGAGGACAAAACTCATGCACTACTCTTACGGGAGTAACAACCTGAGCAGTTGACTCGTCCGGAATCACCAATCAATCAGCGAGTCAACCGTGTGTGTGTGAACTCCGGGCGTGACTCCTCCCGGGATTTACGTACGTCGCCCAGAGATGGGATCAGTGTGTATGTATGTATGTATGTATGTATGTATGCATGTGTGTGGTGTGGCGTGTGCGTAGGACGTGGCGGCGCGCGGCCTGGACCTGCCGCGCGTGGACTGGATCGTGCAGTGGACGGCGCCGGGCAGCGTGCCCGACTACGTGCACCGCGTGGGGCGCACGGCGCGCGTGGGCGCGGCGGGCGCGGCGCTGCTCTTCCTGCTGCCCGCCGAGGCCGACTTCGTGCAGATGCTGCAGGACAGGCGCATCAGGTGAGCGCTACGGCGTGTGCAGATCGTCAAAACTAATTTTAATGTACAGTCGACTCCGGTTGTAATAAACTCGGATGTAGTGAACCCTCGGTTATAGCAAAACTTACTCACTGGTCTCGTTCCGTAATATAACGTCTCAACCCGTAATATACAGTCGACTCCGGTTGTAGTGAACTCGGATATAGTAAACCCTCGGTTATAGCGAACTTAAGTCACTGGTCCCGTTTGACTTAAATTACAAATAAGTATAAGAAGATTCGGTTATAGTAATCCTGAACCTAGGTTATAGGAAATACGACTTTGAAATTAATTCTGTCTTGGAGAAAGATTTGAAATTAATTCTGTCCTGGAAAAAGAATAAATCGACTCATTGGCACAAATTCCAACCGACTTGAAAAAATATCTGCCAAAGGTCATAATCGAAGAAGTCTCCCCTGAGGAGAACGTAACGGACTCGCAATGGGGACCTTTCTGATGACTTCATGCCACTCAGTTTCAAGCTGGATGTTACGTGATATTCCGCGGGTTTTATTCTGCGTAGGCGACTGGATGCGCCTGACTGCCGCAGCCCCACAGCCTCCTGATACTTTTAAGTCGTAACGAAGCTTCCGATTGGATGTCAGCCACCCCCCCCCCCCGATTGTCCAGCTCGTTACCTCTAAGGGAAGCATGTATTCGAACATTACGGTCGTATTAATTTTTGCGAAGAGTCATGTCAGCTATGCTCACGACCAGTACACACAATTCTGGCTGTGATTTTTAATTGACTCTAGTTACATTCACGCATTTACATTTACATTTACTCCTTACGCAGTAGTATAGAGGAAGTATTGTAATGATGCGGGACAAAAAGGGCGAGTTTTTTACAGAAAACTTGTATTGCCGCAATCTCGTAACGCAAAAGTTGATACATCTTGTGCCTAGGTGTAGTAAATTACTTCCTCGAACACCTTATGTAGTCTGAAGTCACGTTCAGCTGTGAAATGGAAATTTTGTTCTAAACAATCGTACTATTTTAAATGCTGCCTTCAGGAGGATGCGGATTTCGTTCTCCGTGATAACACCAGGCACAAGTATCCACCGGCAAATATTCCCATTCCATGCATATGAACGTTATTGAATTCTTGATCTTTACTGTTTATACTGTCTTCAAGTAAATGGTCTGTATAGTCAACAAGAACAATGTCCCGTTTTGCACGTACATGCTTGGGTCTTTCACAGTTACATATTGGTAAATAAACTACACATACAAATCTAACATATACTATGACCACTGTTTCAATTACTTAATTACCCTTCACGTTGAGTTTAGTTATGGAATTTAGAACTAAAGGAAAGGGCGTTTGCGAAGCAGCAGTGTCAAGAAATGTGTTGAGCATGTTGGCGGGTAGGTAGGTAGGTAGGCAGGCGAGGTCCTCATGCCACCTATCCTCGTAAATAGTGTTCCTTCATTACGTTATTACTGGCACATGTTTAGAACACGTTCTCACGTTCCCAATTGAGATGGATTCTAGTGTTGATCAGAAAAGCGCGAAAGAATTTAGACAAACAAGTGTTTGAAAAAGTACGAGAGAATGAACTAGGAGAAAGAAAGAAAAAACAATCAGGAAAATTGAGGGGAGAGGAAAATGTGGATAAGATAGCGATGTAAAAGTATCCCTTTTCTTAGTAATGACATTCATTTAACAATTATCAAATATCGAAATGTTAGTTATAACATCAGTATAATTAAATGAAATTGTACAATATATTCGATTGCAGTAGAATATTGACGCTAGAATGATATTGATCATAAAGACTATTGAAAACTGATTGAATCAGCTAAAATGAATATTACCAGTGTATTAAATTCCGTTTTAATGTTGCATTTTCTTTAAATTGTAAAATGGTTTATATCTTTTAAAACAGGAAATAAAAATAGGAATAACAGGAATGAAAACAGGAATAAAAATTTAACAATGGTACATTTTAATTGGAAATATAGAAAATCCTTGTGCATGTATGTACGTAATTGTTTATATTTTTTTTCATAGATTACAAGAAGAGAAAATGGACAACTGTTTGAAGAAATTGAGCCAAGCCATTCATTCCTCCGAATTTCCTGAGGTAAGGGAAGCTTGTTTTACGAATTTTTATTGGAAATAAAGGCGATTTTGAAAGGAATGCAATTTTATAGCATATGTGAAAATAATTTTTATACTAGAATTAATATTATGTGTAAACATTTAATTGACATATGTTACCTGTAAAAAAATCAAATTAATATTTATTACTTCTCTTAACATTGATTGAACTACTATATGAGAAGTGCTTCTACAACCCTTTATTATTATTATTATTATTATTATTATTATTATTATTATTATTTTAAGCGACGCATTCAAGTTGTAAGCCATATGGTGTTCGCTCGCCCTGTTCCAGAGATCTTCTGTGCAGTCAGCTGCTACGACTTTGCAACTGCGCTACGAGAACGCTGTGCTGAATCGAAGATCACTCCACGATTCTGCCGTGAAAGGTAGGCAGTGGACATTGGCGCCATTTTCTTTCGGGTGTTGTTTTTCATGTGTAATAATGTGAATGTTTGCATTCTTCTCATGTAAAGGAAGGGTGTTCCCCCTTTAAATTTCATGACTAAATTAGTTTCAGATGTAAATAGATTTTATTTGTTAATTCTTCCATTTATTCGTAATATTCGTTCAACCGACACGTAATGCGTGTTGGAAAAGTATTCTGTAAATCTGATTCGAGTGAAGCAGTGTAAGAGTTACGTGCCACTTTGGTAGTTGCGCATTTTCGCAATGTTGGAGAGAACCTACTGTTACAACTTGAGAGACAAGAGTATTTTGTCGTGCCTTAAAAATATATTTGTAGCTATGATAATGGTGTTTTACACCAAACTGGTAAATCTAAATTGTAATATGTATTCGTAAGGATTGCAGATTCTTTCGACAAACCAACATTGGAAACAGAGTTAGTTTGTTGCATCATATCTATATAAACAGCTTTTTTCTCTAGTATATTCTCGTTTTTTAGCAATTTGTATTATATTTATAGTTTAACCTCTACGCGATTTTGTTACTTTCAGTTTTTTATCTACACTTTAATAGGCTGAATTACAACTTGACAACATGTACTATGTTCGTTATTTTGCTAAATAGCTCCCACGAAACAATGAACCAGCACAACTCTACTACTATACCATTTAATATGTTTGCCAAGGCAAGAAAACCCTATTGCCAACACGACCACAATGATTGTGACGGCCACAATGATTTCGGAGAAAAGCTTCTCTTTCGATCAAAAGAAATCTGTTCGGAAGAAACTGAACTTTACTATTATTTACTACTGAAGTACCTTCATTATTTACTTGATACTTTGTTCTGCATCTGTTCAATTTCAATGATATTTTGAGTAAATGTTGTGTATCCTGACCAAATGGCAGTGACGTCAGCTTCCAAGGTATAATCGCTTTATGCCAGTGGTAGATTTTTTTTACAGGTTTGAAGACACTTGACCACCGTGTAAAACCACATCTTCGGCGAAATAATTTTCCGTCGGCCAGACGAATCGAGCGCTAGATAATAATGCGTCCAAGTGTCTCTGCAGTTCGATACATTGTTCCAGTATATTGTAAGAATTTATCCAAATAATGGCGAAAGGAAGGTGAAATTCAAGCATGTGTGAAGTGTACAAAGGACGTATATGAAGATGCCGTACCTTCAAATGCATGTGCAGTTTACTTACATCACGCTTTCAGTTAAACTCGTAACTGTCTGACTTCCTACTAAAGAACGATAGTAAATAATATTGTTTTCAAATGCAAGTTTCGAAGTACTCTTTCTTCAATTCCATCAAAATAAATATATTTTTTATGCAAAAATTTCCGGTTGCCGAACATGACTTCCATTTTATTATGAACGAACCTCCCGTGTCTCCACTTAGGACAAAGGGATGAATGTCTTCACAGTTAATTTTGCACAGCAAACGTCGTGTAATATCCGTCAAGGGTTTCAAGAAGGTAGTAGTTGCTCTTCCGAATAGTGCATCTAATGTTGGTCATTAACATCGTACTTCACAGAGAATCAGAGATCATAAGTGACGAGCAGAATGGTATCAAGGTTAAACGCGGAGCCTGATTCCCTTCGTATAATTTTAATTATGTCGAAGCACACTGGTGTTTTCGGATTTGAATTCATTTTTTTTCAGACCCTCTGTAGTTTTACCGGCAGTGTAGCTCAGCGACTACATTGTTGCTTCTACAGCATCGTCAATAAGGAAGTCCTAGGGTTCGATTCCTGATGGTGGCTAATTCTTGATATTAGGTACATTCATGAGTCGAATTTAACCTCAGCTCCAAATGTGTTCTTCGAGTTCTTTTTGTAGTTATAGTAATAAATGTGTGCAATAACTTTGCATTAACGCCATTTGCCGTTTTCTTTTATTTTTTTAAAAAATAATCCCATTTATTTCCCATTTATTTTTAAACTGAAATTAACCGCAAATTATGCTTTGAGAATGTTTGCGTTTTGAGACAGCGGAGGTGGTGGCTTTCAAGACGCGAGTTGAGTCGGTGGGTGGAAGCGAGAGCGGGTAGCCCTGTGCTTGTGAAACAAATGTGCCGTTACCGAGCCTCTGGCGACATCACGTGGAACGACGGAGAGGAATGTATGGGGTGGTGCGGGTGTCATTCAGTGTTTTAGGACAAGTGCAGTGGACAGTTTTGCCCTTGCTGTTCAGCTACAGTTAATGATCTGGGGACCACAAAAAACATTTGCTATTGGGAACATAAAATATTGATGCTCCCAAGCGAAAAATTAATGTGACTATTTGTTGAGCAATGCAACATGCGTTCAGCCACTACTCTTCGTGCGAAATTATAAAAAATGTGTTTAAACAATAGGCCACTTACCGGCACGATAAAAATGTGTAGCTTAATTTCCACTAATAGTTTTGACTGCTCGTTTCTGTCGAGGAGTCCCCCGTGTACCTTTTCCCATTCCAACTAATTGAAGGCATGTGTGTGTGTGTGTGTAAGAAGTATTTCGTGCATTGTCCTACGTAGGGCATTCACCCCGCACGCACGCCGGTACAGAACCTTCCGTGCCGGGCGCGTCGTTACCGTAAAAAGCAGGGAGTGCGTGTACTACACGAAGGCGCGCCTGCTTTCCCACTTGTTAAACGCTCGTCACCGCTGCGGGGCCCAAGGGGGCCGTGGCGGACCGGGGCCGGCGTATTGTCCAACATTTTGTGGACGCGTGCGCGGCCGTGGGAGGACGGTTCGGGGCCCCGCTCCGCGAGTGCGCGCGGTGACGCACGGGTGAACGCCCCCCGCGCCGCCCTGCACCGCTCTTCTGCGCTGCACTGCGCCCGCCGTGTCTGCCAGCTGCGCCCGCGACCCTGCTTTTCTCAGGGCTCCCTCCCTCCTCCTCCTCCTCCTACTCCGCAGCGTTCTGGGTAATTCACCTCACCGCCGCCGCCGCCGCACAGTGTCTGCGACGTGCGGCTCGGACGGGGCACCGGCGAACCGATGTCACTGCTGTGCCTCTGATCTGAAGATCCTAGGGTTTGAGACCCGGTGGTGGCGCGTTTTCGTCACTAGCTACATAGCTGGGTCGAATTCATCTGCTATATGAAGGGGAATTCTAGCTCTGATCCGTAGTTTTCCCATCAACACCAGGCGAATGCCGGAGCTGTTCCGTTAACAATCGGGCCACAGACCTCGCGCGATCTTTCCTTCCTCTTCCGTGCACATCCTCACCCTTTACCTACACCTACCCCTGTAAGCTCGACACTGGCCGGGAGATCAGTCGGGGGGTTTAGCGCTTGCTGCAGCTGTGCGGTGCCCCGCTGTTGGGAGATACCTGGTTTGCTGGAAAGCCCTCTAGCCGAGGTGTAAGTTGGCGCCAGATCTCAGATTGTCACCATCAAGCGGAGGAAGGTCACCAGTACTTCTCGCGTTAAAAATATGCACTACACATACGGGACCAATAACCTTATCAGTTGGCGCACTCGTCGTCACTAATAATTCATTTATTCATTCATTCATTCATTCATTCATTCATTCATTCATTCATTTATTCATTCATTCATTTACCTTGTAGGAAAAATATGATCGTTTGTGAAATTTAATTATCCGTATTGTTGTTAATGTCGGGAAACTACGGATTCCTTGGTTGGATTTAGGTGTTTTTTAATTTTATTTTCAAATATTGTATCAATTCATCGGATTGTGTGGTTTGTAATGTGTCAGATAGTTGCGACAACGGCTTCTGAAATGTACTGATCGATCTACAATCGTGAGCCTGGCGGTTTTGTTACAAACTCTGAAAGGAAGATTCATCGAATTCCAATGGTAATTGCACGTCTTTTGTTTAAAACATTTTTTTTCGCAACATCTTTCATAAATAACTGTTAAACAATTCATTATACTCGTACTGTTATTTTTTTTGTCAAAATGCTTCAACGGGCAAATTCTAAAGATTTTCTAGCTGGTCTTCATTGGTTTCATGTTCCTATTGTTGATCAGCCTTATGTTTGTAAAGGTAAGTAGATAAACATGCTCAGAAGTGAGCTTTATCTTAGTTGAGTGCTCAGTTATTACTTTGTATTTATAATTATGTGTTTATATAATTTTATGAAAAATGTAGTGTAACTGATTAATTGTAAGATTAGCAAAAATGCTTAATCAATTATTTCACGATTATAATTATTTATTGTTTAGAATATAATAATATGTTCTAAATGTTTAATTTATTGTACGAACATATATTTATGGACCGGATGATAATATAGAGAAATTGTCGAAACGTTGCGAAGAAATGAACAAAAAAAAGTGAACACCTTTTATTCGTGATGTATAAATGCAGCCAACGACAAGAAAAGAGATCATATCTTAATTGATTGTTGTTTCTAAAACGCTCCGACAATGAAATTATAATGTCGACGATTGCGAGCGAACGTTCTGAGGGAAACCGGTACGCCGACTACTGTGCGAAGCCAGTGGCCACTCTTCGCACACACGAGATTTTCCTGACCGCCCTGGCGCGCGGTCTGTTTTGGAAAGTTGCTGCTTGCGGAGGGCGTTGCTCCCGGTGACGCCGTAATTAACCTCTTGCAGCCATTTGGACTAGCAATAATTGCGCACAGTGTCGTCGCAGTTGTTGTCCTATAAGACGCTGGGCGCGCCCCAATTAAAGCTTTTCCCGCATTGCATGTGGCGAATACGCGCGCGGTGGAAGCAGTCACGCAGCGGAAGACGCCCTTTTGACGAACTCTGCTTTTGTGACCGCGCTAACGGCATCGATTGCTCATTTAGCGGGAACCCTGTGGCGAACTTTTAGCTTTTGCTACTCGTTACCTTCCGAATCCTTACGTATAATCCTAGTATTTGCTAATACGACAGTGTTAAGGCAATGCTGTTTTCACAATTCGCCAACACTTACCTGAATATGGTCGTATTTACCTTATAAACCTGCGCGGATAACCTTAAATGTATCTCAAAAGGACGCACAAAAA